CTCTCGAGGACGCGTGGTCAGTGGTCTAACCGCTAAGGCATGCAAAACATAAGAGTACCCCCCCCCCCCACCCTGCCGTTACTTCCCCGTTGGAGCAAATGAATTTTCTCACCTCGTTCTCCCTCTCCTGCCCCGCGGCTGGCGTGGCAATTGGGCGTTTTTTTTGTCTCCTTTTCGTTCGTTGTGCCCGGCCACCACGCCAACACCACTACCAACACCGCTATCATGAACCAGATACGGAGGAAATGGACGAGCTGCTGGTGGAGTTGCACCTGGTATCGAGCTTCATGAGAGAGGTGCGTCAAACGGTTGTGGACGTCATATGACTTTGTACCGCAACGCTCACACACAGCATGTCTGATGCCGGGTGGGAGGTAGCTCCAAATCCGTGGTGCGTTAGCTCCAATCCGTGGTGACACAGAAGGGTCCCTCTCCCTGAGGCCCCCTACCATCCCGTCCTGATAGTGGTCCTGAAACAAACGAATGAATGTTGTAGTACGTACCAGAGACTGTCGCAAGTGCTTCCTTGGTTGTAGATTCGGCGGAACCCCCCGTGACGAGGAGGAAAGGCTGGCGAGCTTATGGTTTCCGGTACAACAGCTGCTTGTATTGTTTTTTGTGTCTTGCCGAACTCGAGTTGTATTTGAAGTAGATACCACGAGGCGCCCACAAAGAGTAGGTGTATGTCACCGTTGTTACTGTTACGTCGACCATGCCAAAAGGCTCTTTTTATCGCGAGGCGTGAGCATGCTGTGCGGTGTGCTGTGTGGTCTCCTGCCGCGCCTTTTTCCGGGGGGGCGTGTGGGCAACTGACTGGTACCGTATGGTATCCACGTCTACTACGTTCTTAGTGCAGTAGTATGTACAAGAGCAGTAACCGCAAAGAAAATACTCAATGAAGTACAATAGTGCGTGGTGTGTGTGTCTTGCCGAAAAAACAAAAACAACGAACTCTGAAGTAAATACGAGACATACATAAAGCAAGTGTGTGGTATGTATATTCCACTGGCCAAAATAGTGACGCTTCTTCTCCTCCTCCTCCTCCTTCCTCCTCCTCCTCCTCCTCCTCCTTCCTCCTCCTCCTCCTCCTCCTCCTTCCTCCTCCTCCTCCTCCTC